TATATATATATATATATATATATATATATATATATATATATATATATATAGAACAAAAGGATATATAGAATCGTGAGGTGAGAGCGATTGAGAACAAGAGTATATAGTATATAGTATAGAGAGGATATATCTCTGATGGTCGAGGTCTGTAATCAGGAGCCGAGCCGCTGGCCCGTCTTGGACCGATACGAGTTGGGGCTCATCGCCATTAACCTATGCGCGGCTTTGCTTGTTGTATCACATATCTTAAGCGCTCTCTCTCTCTCTTTTTCTCTTTCTTTCGTTATACATGCACTTATTTACACTACAACTCCATTTGCATTAAAACTGTATATAGAGGTATTCCTTATTGCAGTGTGTGTAAGGTAGTCTGGAGTGTGACGTCATTTGATGTGATCGCGCTAGGTATACACGACAGGCAGACGTGGCACGCATACCAATTTGAAAATGCGAAATGAGCGGGTCCCGCCTTCCACGATTCATTATTGCCGCGACGACGACTCTCATTCTCATCCACATATTCAAACACATACCAACAAATCTCATTTATATGTGTGTGTGTGTGTATATATATTTTAGCGCGCGCGAGAGCTATCACTTAAATAATAATAAGACGCGCCTTATAAAATAACAACTGAGGACTATTTATTGACGTGGCACATATAAGTATTTAATTTTTAAAGAATGTCGATTATAATAAAAAAAAGATATGGATAAACAAAAATAAAGATGGTAGCAGTAGGTAAATTACACGATAAAAAAAAAAAAAATAAAGAGATGATCAAGATATAATGATATAAGGATAAAAGTGTATAAGAGGGTATTTTGAAAAGATGAAATGTATCGCCTGTGGAGATTTTAGATCGCGAGTTCGTTAGCGACCTGGTTGTCGAATATCATGGGTTTTTAGCCTGTAGGTGTCATTAGGCCACGGATGGATGACTGTTGGGCAAACTGATGAACGGATGAATAAAGCGGTTGGGCGGCTGGGCGGCCGCAAATGTTGATTGGTCTACATGAGCAGGATACTTGAGGACGATCGCCCGGAGGGACACAGACCCATCACCCATCAGCCCATCAGCCCATCAGCCCATCAGCCCATCAGCTGTCCCATTTGCGCTAACGCCAAAAAGAAACAACAACCGAGAATCAAGAGAATATAGAACGCCGACGATTTAAGATAAAAAGACCCTGTTTCCCTGTTTAGCTTACTTATTTTAACTTTAACGTGTAAAAAGTTACACCGCGTGTCTACCGGCTTGCATATATCGTGCGTCAACTGTTTAAGTGTAATTTTGTACAATAATCCTCATTTTCATTCCCATTCTCTTTCTTTATTTAGTCTTTATTCTTCATTCGGTATCTTCTTACTCTTATTTTATCCATAAATAAAACTCTCATTAATCTAATTATTTAAAAAAAAAGGGATACAACATTACTTAAATCAGACGTTAATTTGCGGATTGCAGATAGTTTGCTTAGAGTACTATTACGAGCTACAGCTATTACAGTAGTAGTGTTTTAATCTGTTGACCTAGGTCTTTCATCTCTCTTATACATCTCCGCAACCTCGAGGTTATTTTTCAAATTATACCCGCGGAAAACTAATTAACTAAAATAATTCTAATGAAAATGATTATTAAAATTAATTTTGCATGTGTATACACTTAATGTATTTACAATTATTATGTAGAAAGTTATAATAATATTAATGATAAATATCGATAATATCGTTGGCTTATTACTTAACTGATGATACGCGTTCGACACCAGCATCGGAAATCGCAAACCATCAAAGGATAAAAGCATTAAATTAAAGTATATACGCAAGTAGATGTATAAGTGAAATACACACACCTTTTATCTTTTATATTATCCATCAAGGTATCCAACAAGTCAACAGGTAAATTACTCTAAATTACTTAGGCATGCGTATATTCCTACATTATATATATCTCAGAAGAAAAATGATAATATTGATTATTAGATATAATGTAATGTTGATATACGCATTGTGTTATAATAAGAAATGTAATCCATTAAATATTCATTTTTATGCAACTTACCTCTTGTGCGTTATAAGATGTAAGTATATAGAATTTTATTGTGCATATACACAAGTATAATTATGTAATGCGCATCCGAAGAATTTCCACACCCTCAAATTTAAATTATCCATCATCATCATCATCATCCTTATGACCGAATACTTTCTTCAATGTGTTTGCAAGTATACATACTTGTTTTTTTTTTTTTTTTTTTTTTTTTTTTTTTTTTTTCAAGTATTTATTCCATGAAAAGATAAAATTAATAATTACTTTACGTGTGACTAATATCGTAATATTAAAAATTAAATAAAATAAATTGAAATAAATGTAATGGTGGTATTGATTGGGAAATATTTACAGCATAAAGTATTAAGTATAATATATAAGATTGGTTATTGATGTATAAGGATAAAATTGCCGGTGATGATGATCGCCATTAGGAATCTTTATCCTTTATTTGGATGCAGCGGCGTTTGAATTACAGGGCGGTGGAAGCTACCTTAGTTACTGGTTCATATATGGTATCATCTTCGGTTTTAGTGATGCTGCTTACAAACTACCATATCACCAACAAATATTTAATACACTAAAATAAATTATTTTTTATAAATTTATAACAAAACGAGTTATTTATAAAAACATAAATATTATATTTACGAATATATTTACACGATGTAATAATGATTTTGCGTATTCGCGTTACGACCTTCCGGTGCATATGTTATGTCAGCGGCGTCGACATTTCGTTATGACATTATCCAGATCTCATAACTCTGTTTGGCCGCAACGTTCAATGAGTAACGAGTTGAAAAGCATTTCAAATTGCAGTTTTAATTATTCAAAGAAAATTATCAGCACACGCGCTAAAATATCTTTCAAGAAAACTAATAATAGCAATAATAAAATAAATAAATATACAAACGTTTAATATCTTTTTAATAATATCACCATTTATTTTGTTAAATCACTATACACTTCTAGATAAGTCTCTAGTCCTCAGCCTATATTTTATTTATAAGTATACAATAATCTTTTATTTATCTGAAAGCGTCTTTAGCGGATAAAATCCTCTAAACGCTTACTCTATAAATTATTATTAATATTATTTTTATTTTGAGTTTTTTTAATTAATAATTCCTCCTAAATACTTGATTATAAAAAAATTCATAAAGCCTCCCTAATTATTATTATTATTATTATTATTATTATTATTAATAGAATATATTGCAGTGTCCCATAATTCAAATGTTTATTAAACTCATTTACAATCACTTGTCATTTTAATTATTTATATTTATATATTACACGACACATATATTATCTATTTAATATAAAGGAATCTTAACTCTGGATTTTACTAATCAATAAAATTATACAATAAATTTTTTTTACTTTTCATATTTAAATATTTTTAATAAGTAAACATGATATACTTTTTTTGTGACTTATTATATTTACAAAATATATATACAATATCTACTCGACGTACAATAATAATGTTATTCTTAATATATATATATATATATATATAAAGATTTAAGTATACATTATTATCATTTATGCTTGTTATATTATTATTAATATATATATGAAAGCTAATAATTTATTATTATCATTATCTAAATTAAAATACCATAAATTTAAAAACAAAATTTTAGCAATAAATACATTATAATACAATAGATTAAAAAAAAAAAATAATAATAGAATAAGAGAGTCACTAATACTTATGTAGTGAGAGAGAGAGAGAGAGAGAGAGAGAATTAGCGTGTGACTGGTTTTAAATAATAATAACTAGTGTATGTATATAGACTTTGTTCTCGTTAAAGGGAATATTATTATTTTGTTCGTTATCATGAACACCACCAATTGAATATACAACGATATAATATGATTAATCGAAGGAATAAAATGGAAAAAAAAATCACCGTGTATCGTATCTGTCACGCGGCTTATTGTGTCTGTTGTGTGTTTGTGTGTCTATTCTATGACTTATCGTCGATGGAACTGGGTAATGGCCTTTTTTTAAGTATTCCAAGGTCCTGGGCATTCTCCAAAAATGTTTTATGTTGAGCGACAAGAAGAGGATTAACAGTTTGTACGTCTTTCTTCAACTCTTCGAGATCTCTTTTGAGTTTTGCTCGCCTGTTTTGGAACCACGTTATCACCTGAGCGTTGCTAAGACCCAATTGAGCGGCTATTTCATCCCGATCTGCCGGACTCAAGTACTTTTGATAGAGAAAACGTTTCTCCAGTTCAAAAATCTGCTGATTTGTAAAGGCCGTTCGACTTTTGCGCTTCTTCTTCGGCTGCTGTCTATTGTTGAAGAGATTCAGGTGATTCGCTTGCTCTGAAATCATTAAAATAAATCAAATAAATATTTTACCGACAGCAGTTAATACTATAAATAATATTATTAACATCAGTAATAGTTGTTGTGCAATAAAAGTCACAAAATATATATTTATATTTATATATAATGCCCTTTCGTTCCACACCAAACGTATATGTACAATAAAAATTTCAAAGACACATGCCGCGGCATCGGCATCATCAACCACCGACCATCAACTTTAACCAACTCTTTTCTACTCTCCTCTCATATAAATTGTACCGTGTAATTTTTAAAATATTTGCAATACGCCAGTTACAACTATGTAATGTAATATACAACACTGTTGCAGTCATAATAATGACGATAATGATGATGATGATGATGATGATGATGATGATGATGATGATTGGTATGCAACAACTTAACTTAACGTAACTCTGTTGGAGTTTTAAGTACGGAAGGTCAAAGCCGTGAGCTCGGAGCTCCGAGTTTTACCAGTTATACTAGTTACCAGTTACGAGAAACAGTCTAGAAAAGTGTCTATTTCACCCGCGATTCATCTATATATGAACTGTGAGACGGATGAAAGGCCACCGCCGTCGGTCACACCTGCGCAACCCAAGTACAATCCTCTCCAAAAATTCAATCTAACATTAAGCTAATGTCCCACGAAATCAACCTTTCTCTCATCATCATCATCATCATCAGCCTCTTCACCATCTTTATCATAATGATAATAAATACAAATCCCGATGACGCAGCCTCATCTTAAACTAGTTTATTTTCCCTTTTTTTTTTTTTTTTTTTCCCATACTGTTTTATAACATGATTTAATTCGACATAGAGCGGTAGTCATGGAAATTTTTTTAGTAAAAAAACAAATTTTTTGCGGTATTCGATAAAATTTTCATTAGAATAAAAGACAACTATAACTATCGAGAGATGTATATGCATAAATAATTGGTAGGTTTTTTTTTTTTTTTATAATGCAGTATCATATTATTATACTAGTTAATAACGATGACCGGATAATGAGGTTATAATGAGTAAGCAGAAAAATGTCACCATCAGCAGCGTCGTATACGCACCCTAGTAAAGTCAATGCATCGACAAATTAAGGACAGTGATACTGAACAAGGAAAAACTTAATCTCCAACACTGATTATAATCTATAATATTTTTTTTTTCTCAAGTTTTATTGAACTGTTGTTATAGATGAAAGCGCAAAACAGGATTAAATAACAATCAGCATCAGTTACAAAAGAAAATATAGATTAAAGTGTTATATTAATATTATTCTAAAGAATTTAATAAAATTGGCAGGTATATAGAGGAAAAAGAGGAGCTGAGAAGCAACTTATTGGCTATTACGGCTTACGGTGACGATTGTTAATGTATAAGGAATAATATGCAGCAAGTACAGCGCGCAGGACATCATTAAACACTATATTCTGTATTTTTTGAGCTCTATTCTGTATTTAAGAAAAGAGTAAGCAGAATAAAAAGGTGAATAACAGATAGGAGATGAAAATATGAGGAGATGAGACAGAGAGGCGCTGAGATATTAGTTTCTGCGGTCGACTCTCTGTCGAGATTTAATTCGTTTGATGTTCACGAATTTACCGCTCTCTGCGCATCATTCCATAACTCCGTAGCACTACTCTTTTATTTCCTTTTATTTCCTCTTTTTCTCATCCACACTTGTTAATCTTCTGTTGATCACGTTAAATACTAATTCCATTAAAATACTCTATAAATTTTTTTCTCTAATGCTTTTCAACTTATTTTGATTTAAAAAAATAAAATTATTTACTAACTGAATTATTAACAATTATTATTTTTGAAATACATACGGACACGGTGCGTGTAATTTGTCCTCTAGCAATCCCCCATATATCAATAATTATTATTTTTTTATTTCAATTGGTTAGTTGCATTATCATAATAATTTACTAACGGATTTCTCGTTAGTTTTCTTCGGTCTTTTGAGCTCGTGTAATCGCTCAATAGTCCGCGACCACAAGAAAATATAATCGGCCATAACTTATATATATATATCATCCATATATACGTTACTTTAAAGTAACGGACTAAAAGTATTTAAGCCTCTCATCACCGATGCATAACTTTTACCACTGTAATATATATATATATATATATATATATTTTTTATTTTTTTTTTTTAGTCTACCGTGACAATCCAAAAAATGATTAACTAGATCTGTATTATTATCCAAAGTTTAAATTAGATATAATGATTATCGTGGTATTTGTCAGTATGTCAGTCAGAGAGCACATATGTTGATAAAAAATCCATGTTCAGTCAGTAAAGTCCTTCCAGTAAGTGAGTTAGAAATAAAAGAGGAAAGGAAGAAGATCCATTTGTCTGATGTTTAAAACGACATGGGCAGAAATTGCAAGTATCCACTATAAGTATAATAACTATATGGATCAGAGTCGAAAAATAATCCCAAGAGACAAGAGACAAGAGACCAGAGATATTATGTCCCCTTTATACTAATTTAAAGTTCGGAATCAACAAACGGGGTTTAGCCACATGTCAACGATATATTTTCTGCCGGGCCACAAATCGTTTAGCGGGTAATTTTGAAATTGGAACACTTATTTAGTCGTTTAGCCTTGCGGGCATACCAAGGCAGAGATTTATTGTCATGATTTGCGCCAGACGACGATTCTACTATAACGTCTTTATAATAACTTTATAACTTTATTATTCTATTATAATAATACAAATAAAAATTGTTTAATCATCAACAAGTCTTGTTTAAACTTTATTTTATTATTATTATTATTATTATTATTATAGGTATATATCTTGGGTTATTTTAGTTTTTATAACTGACTAGAGTTGTTCTGACAATCAATATACGTAGTATAATAAACTAGACTATAATGTTATGGATACCTTTTTGCGTGTATATAATAGAAAAGAACTTAACCCCTTGTGTATTATCTCGGTCGATATATATGTATATATTTGTAATACAGTGTAAATACCTTTACAGTATAAAGCAATAGGTTATTTTTCTATTTAAAACAAATTTATGTAAAATAACTCGGTGTTTGATTTTAAAAAGGATGAAAATAAAAATGGGCTTACAAGACCCACCACGTGTACGCGCGATTATGAAATAAATTGAAATAAATATGTTAATTGCATTAAATCATTGGAGAGTGTTAAAAAAAGTTAACAGAATGTCAGAGATAAATACAAGTTATTCTTATCGGTACGGTGAATTGAATTAAACTGGGGCGAGAGGCAGGAAGCGGATTTGGCGGCCATTTCGAACAAGATTCGTCTTCATTAAGAGTTGCCGTGACGCGCCAGAAAGAACTTCGAGTGTACCACCTGGCTCATCGTATTATATTATATTATATTATATTATATTATATTAGATTATATGTGTATATAACTCTCAACACATACGAACATCAACCAACTGCTGGGTGCTGGGTACTGGGTATAGAGTATAGATTATAAAGGTGCCGAGGCAACTGATGAAAAATATACCAAGACGATTACTATGAGCAGGTACTACCACTCAAATGGGTGGTCTTTGACGCTTACTTAGCACCAAAGAAATCTCCAAGTCTCTTCACTCAACTCCTCAATATACACATATATGTATTTCAAATGAATTTTCCCAAATACCTGGACCACAAAGATACATTGATTTAAAACCCAAAGAGGATAATGTGTAATATAACACGACATTTATCATACAAAACACACATATATAATAATAACCCGCCTGACAGAAACATTCATTCACACCTCAGATTAACAACTTATATCCATAATAACGTTACTTTTTTTTACTTAACTTAAATTTCTGGGCTTTTTTTTTTTTCTTTTTTTTCTTTTTTTGTTTATCTAGTTTAATTATCAATAAAATTTAAATATAAGCTTTTATAGCTTTAATTTTAATTTAGTAGACAGATTTTTCTCATCGCCTCACATTTGTTGTGTCACACGTTTAGAGTAATACGAGATATTATATTTATAAGCCACCCGGAATCACATCAACGACAATATATATTTTTCTGCTCCATCTCAAGAGAGACCAAAAAATAAAGTGAAAAAAATAACACGAAGCAGATGGATTGTTTAGGACAAAGAAAAAGCGAGTCAACAAGTGAGTTGGCAAAACATAAATAAAAGAATGACACCAAAAATTCGGAAACTCCACTGATGCTACGGTAGTGGTGTGAGCAGCGGGGGCTCTTCTCTAATGACAAGGCTACTGTTCTAATACCCGATGGAAACAAAAGGCGTCATAATAACTATCGATATTGGTAGAGAGATGAAAAGATAGTAAAAAATAATGGTTAAGATAATTCTTAAATTACACGGGATAAGTTTAAGAACATTGAAAGGTGAAATATAAATGCACCTGTGCAGGTATTTTTAATTTCTGATGCTCCACCGCCCCTAGATAATAATAATAATAATAATAATAATAATAATAATAATAATTCCAGACCCCTTACTTAACTAAATCTCTAAACAAAAGATCCTCCTGGTAAAAGCTTAAATTTTAAGATTAGTAATTGGAATTAGTGTGACGATATACGAATTAACGCAAGCTGTTACTTTTGTCTGCAGCCATGCTATTTCTTTTTCTTTTTCTTTTTCTTTTTCTTTTTCTTTAAACTCGGTGGAAGTTGGAAGCATCCAACATAGATAGACTTATTTAAATAGCAACTGACACAAGTGTGGATCTCTGAGTTGAGCGAGGTACACGTGCGTGTACCAATTTGTGCTTTAAATGAGGGACGTTTTGCATCCACCAACTAATTCTCGTACGCTTATTTCCTTTTACTCATTACAGCAGTTACAGAGAAGTAACAGCAGTAACAGACGCTCAATTGCTCTTTGAGGATCGTGTTATTTTTCAGTTAAAAAGACCAATAAATCCACTAGTGCATCAGCTCTCTCCATATCAATCTCTGACTTATTCTTTCTATGCTAATTCTTCATCTTTATTTTATAATCATCATCAA